CGCAGCTTGGTAATTCAGGGTGATATCTGCTGTATGTAGACCGAGCATACGCCGGTTGTTACGTGGCCCGTACGCCTTCTCATCGCGTAATGTAAGTTACTAGGAAGTAGTAGTAACTTCCTAGCCGGCATTGAAAGCCAGCCATCCATCCATCCGACGGATCAGGACCAAGGCAGGGGGAACTATCTACAAAGTAGTTAGTAAGTACATACTACTAACTACTTACTCCCCCGCCATTAAGGTTGGTAAGGTTGGGTGGATGCGCTTTCAGCTCTTCCACTTTTCTCAACTGCCAGTATTTGAATATAGATACATCCGTTTGTCTGGCTAGCATCCTTCTGGCAGCCACCCAGCGTGGCTCGGCCCCGAAAAAACATGACATGAACCTACCAAGGATTGGGTTAGATGCTCCAATTCCAGTCCGGAGCTTGCACCCATCGTGGCTTCGCGAGTCTCAAAGTGGATGCATCGTCCGATACCGACCCAAACCTGACCAGATGAGACAGAGCAATCATGACTCGTTCACGGCCCCCCGTATATATCGGCGTGGCCGAACTCACCTGACGCCTTTCCCCTCCCCCAAATTCCAGCCTGAACCGTGAACCCTGGTTCTATATTCAGGTCGCGACTATAGCCTGCCAGTGCTCACGGAGGGAACGGATCGATCAATCAATCAATCAATCAATTAATCGTAAACAGAAGACAAGCTGCGACACATGTGTGTCATGAAGTAGATCATGGTTAGTACTACTCCACTTGAAAAGTTCCTGGACCTAATTGGATGCCAGGAAGGAGATGTTAGACCCCAAAATTGAGGAAGGAAAAGCATCGTCCCATCAGCATCCTTGGTAGCAACTTTGCTCTGGCTAGCATGACTGGTCTGTTCCTCTTCTCTCGGCCCCGGCGGGCTTTATTTCAAATCTTCTTTCTTTTTACCCTCGCTGCCACATGGTTGGCATCTGCAATCCATGGTCTAGGATAGTCGAGTACTACTTCCTTAGTACTTAGTAGATTCTGTATCCTAGGGCCTTCATTGGAACCAAGTCTCTTCGCCTAAGGTACGGACCTAACCACATCCATCCCGGGGGTTTGTTCCCCCTCTCCCTTTTACCTCATTTCTCCCTGGATCACCCACAGAAAAACACGCCATTCGCGTAAAGGTGGCAGTTGGGCTGCTGCCTCCTCTCCATTCGCCTGTTCGCAGTTCGCCTTTCACCCTGTCTAATCCCATCGGAACCGCCACTGTGGACAGGGCTGGCTGATGATCTTGAGAACGCCTCTTTTATTCCATTTTATTTTTATTTTTATTTTTTTCCCGTGGCGTTTCTGCATCAGCTCCGTCTTGTACCTGATCCTATCTTTCCCTTTCTCTCACCCTCCTCACGAACTACTACTTTTCTGGACAACTCTGCAGACTCCAGACTCCAGACTCCAGACTCCAGATTCCCACTCCTATCTTTCGTTCCCGTTTTTTCCCCTTCTCTTCTTCCATTTAGACTTTTTTTTTACCTACTTTTTTTTTTCCCTTTTTCCCCCAATTGTTTTTTTCAGCCTCCATTATTCGCTCCACCCTATAGATAATCCCTTTTAAGGATGCATAAACGACACTACTTCCGATTTCGTTTATCTTCATCCGTGGCCCCCAGCCCATTTGCCTCTTAACTTACCGAACATGGTTGTTTCTCTTCATCTATAGTCACCCGACTGGCATCCTCACTCCACTTATTTTTCATCTTCTTTTTCTTATACTTTCTTCTTCCTTTTCATGCACTCAGTTGCTCTTTCTTCTTTCTCAATCTCCCATAGACTCCACACGTTATATAGCCTAGGAAGCCTATAGAGTATGGGTGCCTACGCTCCCGTCACCATCCAGACATCTCTTGTTGATGCGTCCTTCCCAGCGTTAGCCCTAAAAGCGACTTCTTCCATGGCCGCCGTCAGTATATCGATGACAACCCGTTCTGGTCGGTCTTCCAGGAAGCAGCCTCTAAGATTGCCTATCATTGCTCCCAAGAGTTGTCTGGTGAGCCCCAGCGCCGGCTTGGACCTTCCGACGCCCAAGAAGGTTTCGGTCCGCCAGCACCGACTGCGCTTCCCACCCCGTTCCCGAACTGGTTGCTGGTATGTCCGCTGGCATGGGAAAAGCCTTCATTTCCCGTTCTGTGGGTATCTCTAATGTCATCTTACCCTCCTAGGACGTGTAGAGTGAGCCTATCCTCCCGTGTCAGAAGCAAATGCTGTGATATCCGACGTTCCGTACAGCGAGATGCTAACTTGTTTTGCCTTGTTTGGAAGTAGAGCCGCAAAGGTGAGTGCTTGGGTTTCCCCGAAGAGACAGTCACATCTCTGCAAGGGCCTTTTCTTCTGCCTGCTCCAATGCGACGATATACTTACCAAGTCGCAATTCAGTCAAGTGCGACGAAGTTCACCCTCAGTGTAATGTGCTTCATCCAGAGCCAATGTGAGCGCTGCGCTGTTCCATGCTGACCTGATCCGATCCAGCAATGTGCTCGTCTGGGCCATGTCTGTGACTACCAACCACGATTGTGCTTCCGAGATGATACCCGTCGCGTAAGGGAGCGCATGCCGGATGTTAGGACCGCGGGAAACGTGGTTTGGGATCGTGAGCAGCCGTAACCCTCTTTTACCCTTGGAGTGTGTCTAATAAATTCATGGTTTTTCGCCTCAGCGACAGTCACTTCGCGGAAAACTAGCGTGCCTCCAGCTACATGCGACTTACTCCCGCCCTTTGCGACACTCATATCAGATGAAGAGCGGGAGAGAAAGGCACAAGCAGCGGTACCTGGAACTTACCATGTGATAACCATCCCAGAGAGTTTCTCTCGACTGCCTGAGTATGCAGACGCGGACTCTGAACAAGACTCTGGGAACGATGCTCTGCTCGAAAACGCCAGTGGCAGTAATCCCCCGGTTGAAGATGACAATTGGGTCCATGGACCAAATGTCGTTGTATTGAAGAACTTCAGGTCTGCACGAAGACACTTGTACCCAGACAGAAGAAGTACCCCTCAATCACCTGAATCAGACCAGGGAAGCTTCTCATTATCTGCACCGTCGGTATCGGAATTGATCCCGGACTATCCGGCCACCAGTGTACAGCATATACAGGAAAGCGCCGAACCCAATTATTATGAAATGCTTCTTCTCGAACATTTTCGTCATTTTGTGTGTTTCCAGCTCCTTCCATGCACTGGCCTTTTCAATATCAATGGTCTGGATGCGACTGTGTTTGAACGCGAGGCGTCAAACTTCCCCCCTGTGCGTAATGCTTGCCATTTTGGGTGTCGGATAACTTTGTATGGAATCTAATCTCTAAATGTTCTAGCTATACCATACAATGATGGCTCTATCCGCTCTCAGTCTGGTTCGCCACGGGGGTGGCCATCACATCGATGCCTCATATTACTACGATCGGGTTGCCGCTCTTTCCCATGGTAGTCTCTGCAATGAAGACCTCTTGTCCGATGCTCTGTATCTGACACATTTTCTGATGCTTGTTTATGAGGTGAGTCTTTTGGTTAACCCCTTTCCTACTCATACTCGCGCCTAAGGCGTTGCGTACAATCAATAGGATTATAACGCTGAATTCGCTAGGTTGTGGCCGCCAACCCCGGTGGTTCAAGCCTTTGGTCACACCACGTCTCTCGGCTGCTTCATTTGGCCTTGCTGCGGCAATCAATTCCGGGGGCGGAACGATTCCCTTGCATCGCTTGGTGGGTATGCCACGTGGATCTATATGCGCTGTTCAGCGGTGCAGGCACGGGGGAGTTTGTTCGCGCCGTTCTTGACAACCAGCTGCTACTAGACTTGCAGTCGCTGTGTTGTGCAGTTGGGCCCAGTGACTCGGATTATCCACAGGCTGATAACAGCTTACCTCTGATCATGCGATTATATTACGACACCTTTACATTAGCCATCCGAATCGGACTTCTCGCCGTCGAGACGCGGGATGCCAAAGAGTCTTACCTGAACAACTACTTGGGCTCGCGGCGACAGGAACTAAGGGAGGTACGTGATGTGCTCATAAGGCTATGGGGCCAGCAGGAGGTTGGGTACTTGTACGAGAATCAAATTAGTCTTTCAGAACAGTCGCAGTGTCTGTTGCAGCCGGTTAGTCAGTCCCCTTCGCTTCACCCGAGCGCGTGGTGTTAACGGCTGTACCATCTAGCTTGCTATTCTGTATCACACCAGCCTGCTCTTCTCCTCGACCAGTCTCTGGGCAGGACAGCGGTTGGAGTCTGGGGCTGCCTCAGACGAGGAGATTCACCACCACGCGATGCGAATCTTACAGATCGTATCGGGGATCGTGGAGAAGGGGCGAGCAGGGGACCGGCGATTCATTGCCTTTCCCATATTCCTGGCGGGCGCTGTGGCTCCAACAAGTGGGCTGAAAATGATGGCCTTGGAGCTACTATCCAACCTAGAGGAGGGCGAAATTGGGTATAATTCGGCTACAACATGTCAGATGTTGCAGGTATTTTTCGAACGGCAAATCCAGCATTCTCAGCGTGGAGGCCATGCGCTGGAGGTCGAATGGGCGGAGGTGCTAGCCGAGCATAGGCGACCTTTAGTCAACTACGGTTGAGTCATTTCGGCATAAGTTTGCGAGTTCTCTGGGGGAACTTTGGAGCTGGAGTTGTAGGATTTGGGAATTACTCTCTTGGGATATATTTCTTTTTTTTTTTTCGAGTTGGTTTGGATTGCGGATATAGACGGGGCCCGTATACGCCAGCGCCTTTTTAGCATTTTTGATAGGACTTACGAAGTCAACGAAGTCAGGATCATAATAATAAACCAACCATGACCAGATGGATTCACGACTCATGCTTTTCATGCATAGTGGTCATATTGATCCACATCCGGACGATGTTACTAAATTGTTTATTACTTAAGGTACCGCGGCGGGCCGATCCCGATGCTCGGGGAGGAGACAAACCGTTTCCAGATACTACTAATTACTGACTACTAAGTATATCTCAGGGTCCCCACCGGCAGTTGGAAAAGCGACACACAGCCAGACCTGGTGCTAGTAGCAGCCACCTGCAACCCTAGGGTATCGCATGGTTCAGGGAAGGCCAAACCTGCAGCACTGTGAAGGAGGAGATCAACCATTTCCGACTGATTATTCGCGGAGAGCTGCCCCTCATGCACCGTTGGGGCCTTTGCGCTGAGCCAATGATGCGCCCGCCAGCATCCCCCTCGGCGGCTAATCTGTCGAGCCACCAGCTTTGCCCAAGAGGAATCTCGCTGCCTCCTGCTTCTTTCCTTGTCCTTTCCTCCCTCTCTCTGCATTTCAAGTTGGTCCTTTGTTTGGCTTCAAGAACGACGAAGAATGAGTGACAGTCGTTGACACCCCCCGGCACACGGCATCTCTCTTACCAGTCCGTCTGTCCTTTCCCCCGCATGCGCATGTCCCTCTCTCCATTTCCTGTTTCTTCTCCCTCCTCTCTTCCTCTTACTTGTCCCTCGTCTTTTCGTCTGGTCGCATTCATTCATTCTTGGATGGGCGCTCTTGCTCGTTTGAGAAAGCTAACCTTTACATCTCTCTCTAGCTATCTTCCGTTCCACTGATCTCCAATCTAATCAGCAAAGACCTAGGACAGTATGAGTCGTCCCAGCGCAAGCCGTCAGGGTTATCGCTCCCAGGAGGAGCTCTTCCTGAATACTGCATCGGGGCAACCGCAGGCCGATTCGCCCGTCATTGAACCGCTGCGCATTGGCAAGCGAGAAACCCCTTCCCCCGCGTCGGCGCATAGCGCCCCTCTGCCCTATCCCGACGATAGGCAGAGACCCCAGCATGTTCGTGGCTCAGGTTCGAGTGGCTCTAGTCCAGTATCTCACGGTGGAGCTGCTCTGGGAGACTCCCCCACGGTTCCCAGCAATATGTCGGCTGGCTCCGGCATATCTCAGACTTCCGATTATATGGCTTCTCTGCGGCTGCGTGAGCCCAAGCAGGCCACCCTAGCTGAGCGACGAGGCAATGTCCCGAAACCCTTGCCCGAATCCCCCGCAGGGGACTCTCCGGACCGCGAAGGACTATTTTCGCGACTTCATCAGCGCATGCCGGGCCTGGCAGCTCCAGCCCCAGCTCCAGCTCCAAACATTCAGTCCCAGTCGGCCGGTTACCCAGACCCCCGCCAGCAGTATTATCCACCTCCTCAAGCCCCAAACAAGCCGGCGGCAGCACACAATCTACAGCCGCCAAACAATGCTATCAACCGAATAAGCTCAACGGCGTCAAACTCGACCACTCGTGCTCAACGCGGCTCTCCGCCGCCTCCAGAAACCCCGGTGGTTGAGCCAGGGCAGCATGCGACGTCTGATATCGAGGCGCGGTATGCTGCCTCGGGGATTGCGGGAACCTCGACATTAGCAGGACTTCAGTCTCAGAGTGCTGCTGCCCAGAGAAGAGCTGAGCAATATGCCGGCCAACAGCCCAGAATTCAACAGCCAACTCCACCGGTCCCAAGGCCATGGACCCCGACGGAGCAGCCAGGAAGCCAGCCACACGGGCCACCCACTGTCTATCAAGGTGCTGAGGTCGTTTCCGAAGGTAACCCTCCGACAAGTTCCACGCCTCCTATGCCTGCAGGGGCGTCAGTGCAGCCCCAGCCAGCGTCCCAACCCACCAGGATTCCTCCGAATGCACTAGAGCACGATTTGGAAAGAATGCGCATAAGCTCCTCCCCTCCTCCGGCCTACTCGAGTGTCCCAGGACCCGTAGTATCGCAGGGTTATCCGAATGAGAAGCAGCGTGCTCCAGTATCGACGAGTCAGCCCAGCTCGTCAACTGGGCACCCCGCGACCTCTGGACCGGCAAACGGTACCAAAGAAGCCAATGATGCAAACGGTGCTGCAATGGCCACTGGTCCGTTCGTGTCAGCCCATGATCACCCAGCATTTGCAAATGAATCAAGGCAGCAACAGCAGCCGCAGCCGCAGCCGCAGCCGCAGCAGAAGCAGTCACCCCCACCTCAGATGCAGCCGCAGCCACAAGAGTCGAGATACTCTCCTCCGAATGTCGCTCAAACTCCAGTTCAGAATGGGAATCATGCGATCGTGCAGCAGACCATCGTTAGCAATCTACCAACGCCATCTGTGGCACCATCCTCACCTCCACCGCTACCAGAAGGTTGGATCGCTCATCTCGATCCCAATTCGGGTCAATACTACTATATCCACCTCCCGACTCAGTCCACACAGTGGGAGTTCCCCAAGGGTCCGACTCCTCTGAATCTCAACGACACCCCGCTGTCCCCGGTAGGCAGCGTATATAGCAGCCATCCTCTGGCATCGCCCGCTTTATCAACATTCGGTAAACCCTTGGCATCTCCTGGTCTTCCCTTGACTCCAGGATTTGAGAGTTTACAGTCCCCAATTGTGTCAGGGTTCACTACGGGGCCCCCTCCAATTAGTGGGATCGATATGTACAAGGTTGCTCCTACAAATGGGGTCTATTTTGGCCCCTATCTCCGCTACACAAACATGGACGTAGAGCGTGGCATCTGGCTAGGCTCCATTCTCTTAGTGACAGATGCCGCACAGCCTCCCACCATTCATATTCACCAGAGTGTCGATCTGTCTCCAAATCCACGTCAGCTTAAAGCCATGCCAATTGCGGTTCATCAGCGATGGACCTTCTACAGGTACGAAATAGATTTACGTATGGAAGAGGCCGGACCTGCCAAATGGACTTACGCTATCACCTCACATCTTGGTTGCACACGCTACGAGTTTCTAGTTGCGGGACGATACGAGACTGGTTGGCGCTTCATCACCACTTCAGGAAACGATTTCTCTATGAATGTGAACGCCAACGAGAGATCTCGCCTCGGCGGTGTAGGCTTCATGTGGAAAGACATCATGCAGAAGCATAATGAGATTGGAGGATTCCATGCCCAGCTGTGTCTGGGAGGCCAGATCTACGCCGATCGGATGTGGAAGGAGGTTCCATGCCTCAAACAATGGCTTGCACTCAGTGGGAAGGAAATCCGGAAGAAGACGCCATGGACAACTGCCCACGAAGAGGACGTCTCTCATGCTTACTTTCACTATTATACGAGCCATTTTGATCAGCCCTATCTTAGAGAAGCCTTTGCTCAGATCCCTTATGTTTGTCAGATCGATGATCATGATATGTAAGTCTGTGCCTTGCCCCCCTCAAGACAGGAGCCCATGCTAATGAGGCTAGCTTCGACGGATTCGGTTCCTACCCAGAGCACATGCAGTTCTCCAATATGTTCAAGAATATTGGACGAGTAGGCATAGAGATGTATCTGTTGTTTCAGCACCATACCACACTGGATCTGCTCCGTAATTCTCAGAGCGACGTCGATCTGTTCACCATCACCGGCACTGGTTGGCATTTTGTCAAATACCTGGGGCCTGCTGTTGTTGCCGTCGGCCTTGACTGTCGCTCAGAGCGCAATCCTCACCAGGTTGTTGCTGGACCCACGTATCAGGGGATCTTCCCCAAGGTTGCCATGTTACCCCCAACTGTGCAGCATTGCTTGTGGATGCTTTCAGTGCCAATTATCTACCCGCGCCTGGAGACCGCTGAACACATCGCACACACCGTCGCTACGGGGAAGAGGGCAGTCACGGGGGCATATAATGCCCTTGGCAAAGTCACTAGCTCTGTGGCCGGTGTAGTCGGGGCCAAGGGCATGGTTGGGTCAGGGTTCGACTCGGTCAAACGGGCTGTGGGCAAAACCGGTCTGATGGGCGGAATCCTCAGCCCTTTCGGTGAACTTGACCTTTTGGATGAGTTGCGTGATCAGTGGACCCATGAGTCCAAGGTACGTTTAACCTCATGCTATATTTACTATTGGTGCACAATCACAGTCGCAGGACTAACCGCATGGGTAGGATCTCGAACGAACCTATCTTATTCGCACCCTCCAGGGCATTGCCCATCAAAAGTCGCTCCGCATGACTTTCCTTTCGGGCGCCGTCAACGCCTGTGGTGCTGGACTCGTGCATGATCCGTCTTTCCCCTCCAACCATAAAACCATGTATCAACTCATATCGTCACCAGTGGTTAACAACCCTCCACCGTCATATGTCATCAAGCTTCTCCATGGTAGCAACAAACCCCTATATGTCCCAGCTAACGGTCAGCGCTCGACCCCCTCGAAGCCTACCGATACTAAGGAAGACATGCTGGAGCTGTTCCAGTCTGATGTTACCGGACAGCCTCGTGAACACCGGAAGCTGATTGGTCGTCGAAACTACGTTGCTATTGTTGCCTACGATCCGGATGTCGTCAACACGATGTACGGCCATCCAGGCCAAGGAAGTGGGAAGTTGAACCTTGCGGTGGACTATATGGTGCAGGGCGATGGGGCATTTGGCGCTGTGGTCAAGTATGGGCCTGTGATTGTTCCTAGCTTGGAGCCAGGAAAGTGATGACACTTGGAGTACGTGTTATGATTGATGCCCTCATTGAATTCCCTCTTTCTTTGAGCTGTTGTCTTTCTACCTCTGTTATTCTGATCTTTTGTTTTCTTCCTCTTTGTCCAGTTTTCCTCTACTTTCTTTCGTACCGTTGTCTTCTTTTATTCAAACATACCTGTCCCACCCAGAATTTGTAGCAGCAAACGCATCGATATCCTTAGCAATGCTATTTCCTGATTTCTCTTTGTCACAACACAAGCATGTTCCAAGTATCCCAACGGATAATACTCTACGTTCTCTCATTCGACGCCTGTGGACAAGTAGTCACCCAGTCTCTCCCCACACTTGCATCTCTATATTGTTAAACCGAACACAAATAGACATACTACCATCCACTCAGGTCTGTATATAACTTCTTGTGGATATACCTAGTTAGGCTGTTGGTTTCAAACTTCAGAAATGAAGTCACATGATATGCAAATACATATATTCTGTACGACCCATACCTCATCAATACACGCCTACATCCCGTACAGCGTACTAATCAGACATCCTAGTTGCACAGGAAAAAATAATATTTATAATCAAAGGAATATCCAATTTCCTGCTCAACCATCCCATCATCATACACAACATCTAATTCAATACTACTAAGCATCCCATAAGGACGCAAAGTAAGGCACCGATGCCCATGGTGCAACTGCAAGCCCACAATATGTATTTCATATATATATGTATGTACTATGACGATAGTCATATTATAGTATGAACTCGCCTTCTGAGAGGGGATGTTGCATCAACTACTAGTAGTAATGTCATGTTGAACCCATGATTAGGCTTAGCTGAGGTCACACATACACGCACACACACATGCATACATAACTACATTAATATTTTTACTAATATACATTTGTATATTCATCGAAAGGGCCCACATGGCATCACAACTCATAAGTGCTCATTAAGGAGCGACTTAGTGTACTACGAGTACAAAGATAAGCAAGATATGACTGAAGTTCGACGCAGGGAAGCCATATTATGCATGAATGGAAGGGTGAAATTCAGTTGTCATGCGGTTTCAGAACCATCTTTCTGAGCGTTTTTCACTATGCGGCGGTTTCAGTTCATTGGGGTGTCCCCCGCTGTCTGGTGATGAGATTGGTTTTAAGTTATTCTGTGGGGATTGGAGGTGGCTTGCAGATCGGGTTCGGTTTTACTCGTGACCCTTGCTTGTGTTGTGGATCATGTGCTTGTGCTTATATTGCTCAGCTCAGCCCATCGAGTGCGATACTTGAGAGGATTGGTCTCAGGGGGTTTATGATTTCATAGAAATTAGCTAGCTGTATTGCTGCATTTGTGACTCGCTTATACTTAGGATATGAGTCGAATCCACCAATATTTCATACGTGCACTCGTTCCTACAGCCATGTATGACTTGCGTCGTCTCTTCGTCGTCAAGAAGAACATCGGGACTACGAATCCGACGCCCACCACCCCTTGCCTGCCCGGTCACGGCCAGGAACGCAGAGCCCAACCCGCCAAAAGTAGTCCCGATGGGAGAATAAGAGCTCCCACAGGTGGTATCTAGACGGGATAAGTCGTCTAGGCAAATCAAATAAGCCTTGGTGTTTCATGGCACTTTCCTGCACGTGCAAGGGTGCTTGAGGAGTATGCCCGTCTGGCATATCGTGCTGCTCGGTAGATTCAGCGTCAGCCCAGCCAGCCCGCGAATTTGCATCTGCAGCCAGAGACGCCGATTCATGAAGAGCGACCGCCAAGGCCATTTCACCTCCCTCTCCTGATATGCATCGTGCATCATGAGGGCCCTCGCAGAAGTGAACGTCATCCACTGATGGGGGAAGATCTTCCTTGGAGATGAAGATTTCTCCCGCGTGCATCGCATACCCCCATTCTTCCAGTGGTAGGAGAGGCACAGGGTCATAAACATGCGTGACCCTGCGAAACCGCCATGCGGAGTCCTCGTCCAACCGGAATATCTTACCCAGGAACTCGGCAAAGGCCTTGTTTCCGACCTTCGGTTCTCCAAATGTCGTCACCGTAGGTTCCCAGCCTCGCAGCTGCATCTCAATACCAGCCAGCGCAGCAACCGCCCCACCAAGCGAGTGGCCAACTAGAACCAGTTCATAGTTGGGGTATTGCTCCCTTGCGGCTGCAACGTGGTCGAGGATCGTCGAGCGAGTGTTCTGCCACGAAGTGAAGAATCCGGCGTGGACAGTGCAATTGTAACAGCTTGATTCATTCTTTCCATCTTTATGTCCGGTGTTATACGGCACATAGGCTTGCGGGTAGGCAGATAAATCAACGATCGTGTTGGTAATGGAGTAGGTGCCACGGAAAGCGACAATGATACGGTTAGGTGACGGCGAGTGCGAAACCGCTATGTATCCACAAGAGTCCGAAAGAAACGGCCCAGTATTCCATGTCTAGCTAAAGGTTAATCATTCAAAGTCTCCTGCTCACGGCAGGACAACCTACGGTTATTAACTCAAACCCCTTGAGGTCACTGCAGTGGCTCAGGCACTGAAAAGGCTTCTGAAGCCCAGTGCTGCCAACGCAGTAGGCGACATCGACTACACGCGCTAGCTCATCCAGAGAGTTGTAGGTCTCCTCGGGGATGGGGCGTAAATCCTGACCTGAAGGTATGTGGACCGTTTCTAGGCGAATGAATGCGCGAATCGGCAAGAAAAAGGTGAAGTAGGTGAGGATTAAGGAGTAGGAATTGAACAACACATTAAGAGCTATCATAGCGCTGAGTGCTTCTTCATCGTCTTTGGTAGTATCTGCTGCGGTGCAGCAGCTGAAAGAGTCGTGGTTGAAACTTGGGAAAGTGAAGAGAGACTTGGTAAACCCGTGACGTCGAGAATCTGGGGAACCCTGACTTGACCCCGTGATGCGGAGTCGGTCACGATGTACGTATCCTTGCGTAAAGTTACGGGACAATCATAGCTACATATTACGCCGTCACAAATTAGTCACTACGGCTTATAGGGTAACACTAGCAGCTGAATTGTTACTTTATGAAGGGCCATCAAATACGAAGCACTTCAAGTGCCCTTGTTATTTATGGTGTGTACATGGAATGGTCAGATTCTATTTACCTGAAGCTATTTTCCAAGCTCCATATTCTTGTGACGCAGTAAAGGATCCAATACATTCAATATGCTGGAGCCCTTTGAGCTAAATCTAGCACGTCTAGCACAACAAATAGTTGTCTAGATGGTCCAGATGACAACGCGGCCATCGACTCCGCTCGCTGTTATTCAAAAGTTAGCGCAACCACAGAAGCATTATCCGGGGAGTATCTCTTACTGCTGAACTTGCGGACGACGCCGTCGGCCTCCTCGTAAACCCTAACGGTGCTAATAGTATTCTGATGCGTAGTCTTAAGTTGGGTGTCGGCTTGGGTTTGTCCCTTGAGGTCCATTTGGCGGAACATATTAAGAGCAGACTCCTCGCGAGCGCTCCCAGCACCCGGCCCTGCCTTGCTTTCAATGGTCCCAGCAAGTTGCCATCCGTTCTCGTCACCGCGAAGGCGGTACGGTTCGCAGTCCTGTTACTGCCTGTTAGCGATATGTTTTGTAATGGATCTTCTGCTGAAGTTGAATTTTGGGTAGACGTACGTGGCCTGCGGCGATGATCTCGTTCTCGCCGTTCCAAATTAGACTGTTGAAAGGCAGAAGACGAGTAGCGATGGTCAACATCGCCCGAGGCGGCTGTTCCGGCGCACTAGGGTATACGACGGTGACACTGCTATCATGGCCAGTAAAGGCAAGTGCATCTCCACTAGGAGAGAAGGATACACCTTGGATCCAACCAGCCGAGTCATTCAGGAATTCACCACAAATTGTGTTAAAGGGGAGCCGTTCACCCCAGGCGCTGGGCTCCGGGCGCGTGTCGACACCCTTGATGAAGCTGGAAAGCACCCGGGCATGAGAGTCAGTCGACCCCGCAGCCAGGAGAACGGAGTTTGGATGCCAAGCAAGGGTGGTAATAGTGCTGCGGATGGGCTTCTTCAAGTGCTTCGAGATCCACCAGTCATTCTCCTCTTCAAAATAGCACACCGCGATCACGCGAGCACCAGATCCAACAGCGAACTTCTGTTCAGAAGGTGACCACCGTACAAATGTAGCAGCCCTGTTTATCCGAAGGAGAACCAGCGTTGGCTTCCAACCCGTAGGGGTCCGTTCCCAGACGTAGGCGTTGCGGTCTGTTCCCGTGGTCACTTAGACGGGACTATTGCAGGACAAGGGGATGAGGATAACTTACCCTGAGAACAGGTAACAATACGTCCACTGTTGGGGGCGATATCCACTCCAGTCACCGTCTTCTCATGGCCCTTGAGTTCATCGGTCAACGAGAACTTGTTGCCGGACTTCTGATAAAGCTCCACATTGCTTTCCCGCGCAACTGCAAGGGTCGCCTTATCCGGAGAGAAAGAATGATCGGCAATTGGGTTATGGAAGAGGTGGTGAGCTTCGGGAGCGGCCATGGCGAGTAGACGACAGGAGGAGCTCTCTACTGCCGTGTGAATGAGAGGGTAGAATTGAGGTAAAGTACGATGGTTACCAACCGGAAAGGGGGAGGGGGAATGGTGGGCAGTATACCACAGCCAAGCTAGGCCCCGAACGATGACGCGGGCGGGATTGGCCATGATTAGATAATATGTCACATGACCTTTCGCGCTCAATCCAGGTTCAACTTCATTCGCATCACAAGCTGTGCTATCTTCGGGTTTCACTTTCCATTGGCTTCCTTCCCTGGACGGGGTGTTCTTTTCGGTCTTTTGCTCGAGGTATTGCTGGGAAGTTGCTCTATTTTGCCCTCGGGTCTTCTTTGTCGCTCTGCAGTGATGGCAACCAGAGTAATTCCAACGCGCGGTGGTGGTCAAGGTAAACCCGCTTCAGCCACCGGACTGCCTAACCAAACGTAAGTCTTGGATACTACGTCCTAAATCTAATACGGGCACCCTGACTGATCCAATTTTGCAGTTTGTATTGTACCAATCTCCCAGACAAGCTGCGCAAGCATGACCTACGGTTATCCCTCTATATGCTTTTTTCAACCTACGGCACCGTTCTCGATGTTGTCGCCATGAAGACCCAAAAGATGCGCGGTCAGGCCCATATTGTTTTTAAAGATGTCCAGGCTAGCACACAGGCTATGCGGGCTCTCCAGGGCTTTGAGTTTTTCGGCAAACAAATGGTATGTTTTTGCATAGTGCAGTGCGGCTGTTCCTCGCTCATTGACTCGGGAATATAGAAAATTGTGTATGCTAAAGGTCCCTCGGACGTCATTGCCCGGCTGCGCGGAACGTATAATGTGCCCACTACAACATCTGCCGGTCAAACCACGGGAGCATCCACAGAGCTCCAGAGATCGATTTTTAGCGGGCCCCCAGGATCGGCGGCTTTGCCGTTGAAGCCCAGCGGAGAAGTCAATGGAGAAGCTCAAGCAGGCCAAGGTGTCAAACGGCCTCGTGAGGAGGAGAGCGACGAAGAGGAAGCCCCAATGGACGAGGACAGTGATGTGCCAATGGAAGCTTCATCGGATGAAGATTAATTGCTTCGCTTATGTACCGGGAATACGTTGGCCAGGCCAGGGGGATCCAACCTGAGAGGGGAGGAAGTACTCTGGATCAATCTAAACTGTGTGACGCAGTGCCTTGGAATGTCCTCATGCCTTCGACTGTGAAGAGTTCCTTGGGCAGCTGAAGACTGAGACGGTTACCCACCAACCCGAGCCAAATCATGAGATAAGTCTCGGGAGTGAGACAGAGCTGTCCTGCAATGTGCCTCATCGCATCCGTTGTTTGGCATGGATGAACGAAAAACGCTGGAGTTCCGGAGTCTGGATGATACTACGAAGCATAAGCTCCAGCTTGGGCTAGGGATTCGAGATCTTGCACATACGCCAAAACTAATACCACCCATGATGCCAATGCTCTGGAGTTCCTTTCTGTATTGTTCCGGTACCAGGTGTTGGTAGACCGCGTCAATTCCCAGCGGCCCCGGATGGTTGTCCTGCCGTAACTGGAAATACAAGACAGGGACGTGGTACGTGGGAGAAAGCAGAATATAATAGATTACCTGTAAACGGACACTCGTCTCGGGCGCACGAATGAGAGCTTCCTGTTTGATGTTAGACTATGCTCGTAGAATGGAGAGAGCGCAATGGAAAGGGTTCCAGTTCGACGGACGGGATCTTCTTCCGAGGCCTCCCACTGTAGTTCTTCGATCATCTCTGGGTCCGGGAGGGGCTCGTCGCGATCACGAGTACCCACATGACCGATATCCCTTGCAATACTCAAGATGGGCCCGGTTGCCTAATAAAATTTAGCTGAGAGTGGGGTGTAGTAGGGGGGAGGAGTGAAGAAAAGAGGTAGAAAAGAAAGAAAGGGGGGGGAAGAGAAAGAATTGAAGTGTATAGTTCAGGTCCATCTTCCTAACCAAT